AAAAAAAAAAAAAAAAATACGGTAAGTGCTCTTTACCATAATATTTCATAAGCACTTTTCCTTTATTCGCCTGGGTTAATTTTTATTCGTAACCTGAAATAATGCCCTGCCAGGAATGGTTTTGTTAATCTTCATTTTCATAATTGAGGAACCATCTCCACTATTTTTCTAATTGATCCTCAATTTGAAAGTTATTATTTCTTGTAAACACTATTCATAACAAACATATTTCTTTATATTTCAACGAGCGTTTCTTACCTTTTGCTTTGAAAGACATTTAAATTTTTTGCCTCGCCTTTTTTTCTCCATCAATGTTAATTTATTAAAATAATGGCTACTGAAATATCTCATTTTGTGAATACAAAGAAAAATATGTTCATTCTTTTGAATGCTTGAACAAAATGGAATATGAGGAAAATTTATCTCATATTAAAAGTTCTTCCCCTTCACAAAATATGAGAAATGCGTGTGTTGATGTCAATAATTGCAGACAGGGTTTTAAACATAAATCTCAACTTCCGAAACCGATACATCTAAATAGTCAAAATAATCTACTAGCTCCCAAAAAAACAAAGAACTTTGTAAATGAGCACAAAACGACAAAATTTGAGAAACTTCTTAACGAAATTTTCAAAACTTTCTCTGCTATTTATGATTGAGATGAACTTATAATAAAAATATAATTGAAAAAATGTGTCTTCTGAAGCTCCAACACTCTGGGTCCGGGTTAAATCTCGTATCCGCTATTTACAGCTATCCTTTCAAAAGCTCTAAGAGAGGCTTTAAGTAGGTTTTAATTAGATTTTAATATTTACCATCGATATAAACTCGATATTTATATTTACCAAAAGTTAATTTGATTCCAACGTAATTTTTTTGTTTAACAGAGATTCCGACGTAACTTGCTTCGAAGTCCTTTTAAGCTTGGTTCATTTAACACAAAATTCTTCAAAACGATTGAAGCTATGAACATGCGATTAATTTCGTAATCTTTTTGTTCATCTTCATTCAAAGCCATTTATTTGGAGCAACTCTGATCTCTCTCTATTCCCAACCCCTGATACTTTTTTTTATAAACGAAAAAAGTGAAATACCGTCATTTTAATTTGAAAATTTATTATACCATTTATATCATATTCGCCCTTGTTTCATGTACCTAATGTATTGGTACCGTCCAACTGATATTTCAATTCAATACTTCAAACACGAAATAGAAAGGCTTTACGATTTGTTGAATTGTTTTCGTAACGTTCGGTTCTGGCTGAAGATTTTTACTCAAGACACACCGGTTTTGGGGATTCCATTTTAAGCAACAAGGGAAATGTCCTTTCGAGTTATTTCCGTTGTTTAAACGTGACCAACCTTTTTACGCGCTGTTGGCGGTCCGAGAATTGGAGGTTCGTTAGACCTGGCTTTTTTAAATTGTGCTCAATTAATTTCTCAATAGAAAGTTACGAAAAATATTTTTCTAAGTAACCTTACTATTGTTTTTGAAAGTAAGAACAATGTAGTTTTAAAAATTAAGTTTCTTTTATATCGTAAGTCGTTATTGGATAGCTTATCTAATGTTAACTTAGATTTTGAAACCGCCTCAATTAAAAACAAATGTACAAAATAGTTTTATATTCGGTCTTCTTTCGTAAGTAAGTATAAAACTTCAAAGAAGATAAAAGAATACAATTTAATCACTAGTAAGTTTGTGTGGGCATTGCGGATGTTTTCCGTTTTTGCACGTAAGAAGTAGAGTGCTTCGTAAAGTAAATCAAATGTGAACAATTTCAACCTTTTAACTTTTATAATTTCCGAGTAACAAGCAAAAGTTTTTCTTAAAATAAACAGGGTTGCGTTCAGTTTCCGCTCCACTGCGCGCTTCCACTTCGACCAATTTGGCCCATTTTCAATACTTCTTATATAAAAAAGGTTAGAATAACGCTGTGTAGCCAAAGTAAAGAAAAAGGTGAGTTCGAAAATATTTGGCATTGAAAAGTTAGGTAAGAGATTATGATTCATGGGGAGTTTAAATGAAACGCATGTTGATCCACCAAGATTTATGTGAAATTGTGTCCGATGCGTTATCCGAGCCAAAGGCAGAAAAAGTTGATGAAATAAAAAGTTGGAAAACGGAAGACAATACAGGTATGCTGACTATTGCACTGAATGTTCTCCCTATGCAAATAGCTCACATAAAATATTCAATCGGTAAGTGAAGGATAAATAATCTTAACCAAATCCGTAGACCAAAAGGACAAGCGAGGAGAGTGATTTTATTTAAACAATATATTTGCAAAATTATGTTTGCAAATGTAACGGTGCCTGAAATCAGAGTGAGTCTCCAAGAAGAGTTGCCGATGACTTTGCTTTTAGTGAGCCCCCATAAATTATTTGGAAAGCTGATAATTGAATTAAGATCCTGTGACAATTTAGCTAGTTTGAATGCCGTAAAAAGTAAGTTAATTGAAGAAGAAGGACGTAGCAACACATGCACGTCCAAGCCAAATGAGTCAGCAGCAATGAACAAGTGTTCAACGGCGTCTTCATTTGGTGGCAATTCTGTTGAATTGAAAGAGCGAGTCTGCATTTGGAGGCAATATTTAATAAATGTACATCAAAATCTTTACCTCGGTAGCACAAGTATTAAAAACAAAAATGGTAAGTAACTTTCGAGTATAAAATGTTACAATTGTGGTTGAAAAGACACAGCGCAATGGACGGAAACGGAAGAGTAACTGTAAAAATTGGTCGTTTGCAGCAATAAATGGGGAAGATGAGAAAGAGAGAAAGGGAAGGTCATTACCACTTCGTTACGAAGGGGCTTAATGGGACATTTGTCGATGCGCTATATGTGCCCTGCTTGCAATGCACTTGTCGGTAGCCTTGGCAATGGGTCATGGGTACATTGTTCGGTTCATAAAATGTGGTGGAGTCTTCGACGACAAGCACGGAGGAACAATTTTAGATTAGAGATTGTTTTTCTTTAGTGTCAATGTAAACAATAAACTTGTTGCAAGCGCATAAGTTGACGAACCGATAAAATGGCACAATCGTTACGTACACCTACATTTTTGTTATCTAAAGGAACTCTCACAGAAGCAGTTGGTTCGAGAGTTAATATTTATCTGCCAAAAGATATTTCTTACGCCATTTGCATAGAAAGCAAATGCCTTCAGAAAACATTTACCAGTCCAGCAAGCCAAGCATATGATTCATCCGAGACATAGTTCATCAGGACGTATGTGGGCCTAAAACGTTGAATGTTGATACATAATACTTGTATACTTTTATTGATGATAAATCTACATACGTTTGCTTTCTGCGACACCTTTGACACATTCAAATGGTCTGACTTGACAAACTGGAAGGAAACGGAAAATCCTCAGAGGGATCAACAATTAACGGTGCCATACACCCCATTCTAGAATGGAAGTAGGTAGTTTCTTGAATTATTTTCAACCGAAATTCATACACAAAATTTACACTAAGGTTGAAGTGAAATACTGTCGCAATTTTTTTTGGTATGATCAGCTTCACATTGGGGATTGCTACCATTCTTTTGGGTTATTTTACGTAATTCTTTTCCAAATATGTCGATAAAAACGTAATACCAGCATATCGGATTCTATTAAACCTTATTCCAACAGTATTGAATGGCCAACAAAATGGTACTTCACAAATGAGTTCTTTATCCGCTCATAACGCTAACAATCAATGTGGTTTTGTTTTTCGTGGAGCATTTCTGCCTTTGGTGGCATCATTTGCTCCTGGCTTAGCAAAAGCCATTTAGTGAGTAAAAATTATTAAAATAAAATGAGCATTTAAATAATTGTATTTATTATTTCTAAACTTAGCTTGGAAATGTTAGAGAAAAGTTGTGGCATTTGTTTGGCTTATGCAATATTTCACGTTCAATTAGTAGTGTCATACAAAGGAAACCTGAGATGGTATGCAATTTTATTTTCAGAACATTTCTTTTCGTCTTCAAGTCTGCCGTTTTATTACAGCATCCAACGCCCAATTCAGCCATAATAACTGAAGAGGAACACAGGCCTCTATGTTTGCAATTAATTAATTCTAGTTGGTCAGGCTTGTTTTCAGCTTTTGTGTCTCTGGTAGATGCTTCTATCGATGAAGCCTCCACCGACAATATACTGAAGGCCAAGCAAAATTATGCCGCTTTATGCGGGATATTACATTTGCTGAATCCTCGAGATGCTTTCACAATGGCCATTTGTGTGCATCTTTCCCACCGCATTATGCCATATCATTCTTTGCCAACAATCCTTATTTAGATGTAGATTTGAGATGTAAGATATTCATATTCTAAGTAATTAATTAATGTGGCGATTGACGTTTCTTATTTTTAGGCCGTACTCGCTCCAGCAGTCAAGATTTAAATAATCAATTTATGAGCACTTGCACAGATGCGGGTGATTTTCGCCAGCAAATTGTGCCCGTTGGTACACCTTTGTCTAGTGTGTCAGTCATGTTAACCACTAAAAATTTGCAATGTATGCGTGCTATTTTAGTGTTGGCTTATAGCAATGACAGTATTCATGTCACATTGTTTTGCAAACCTTACAGCATCTTGTTTGGATATTGGGCTTAAAGCCATCTACTGGCGGGAGTCTGCAGGCTTTTCCTAAACCAGCTGTAGAGGCTAACGTTGGTATACAGACCGCAATGGAACATAAACAAGGAGGACCAGTATATCCACATGACATAATTTATAAAATTCATTTGCTCTCGTCCTATTTCACTAGATGTAAATAAATATATATATAAGTTTGAAAAAATCAAATGTTTATTTTTTGGCGTACGTTGCTTGTTCTTCTTCTTTTTTGGTTTAGATTGCTTGTTCTTGTTCCTTTATGGTGTAGGTTCCTTGTTCTTTTTCCGTTTTGGTGTAGGTTGCTTGTTCTTCATCCTTTTTGGTGTAGGATCCTTGTTCTGATTGCTTTTTGGTGTAGGTTGCTTGTTCTTGCTCCTTTTTGGTGTAGGTTGCAATAAAAGCATCATAGTAATACAAATAAAAAGAAACTTCTATTCAATATATAAAAACTAACTTTTCACATTAAAAAGATATACAAATAAAGAACTTGGCCACAAATATATGTGTGTACGTATGCATGACTAGGGTGCAATACATTTAAGAAATGCCCTTCGACAAGGGATTGAAAGTGTGTTAAACGGAGAAGTGTAGAGAATAACTAATGAAGTTGTTTAAGAAAAGAAGAGTATATATAAACAGCTCAAATAGTAGCTAAACTAAAATATAAAAAAAAAGAAATTCAACAGAAAAATTTCCAAACACACACAAAACATGGCCAAACACAATGAAGGTTTTCAAGACAGACTGACATATAACTGCACTAACGGGACTAAATGTATTCAATTGTGTGCGCTATCGGAATGCCATTTTGGTGGGGAAATGGAAATAAAGGAAAGTAAAAGAGAGGGTGCGAGAAAGTTAGAGAATGAGAGATGAAACAAAAACGTTCCCTAAAGTGAAGGAAGGAAAGTCAGAGGAAGGTAGATTTAGCGGGGTCTTCGAACCCAGCTTGGGGTGTCCCATAAAAATCAAGGATCGAAGGAAATCAATAAGCAGAGCGGGTAATAAAGGCGCAGAACTTACTGTGTGCCCTCGTCCTCCTGTTCGTTAAAGGGTAACCACGTGCTGGTCTTTTAGGTGCAAACGTCTGAGGAGTGTCCGAAAGGCAAATTATAAAACGCCCTCACACCTCACCAACTAGCCAGCTTAGCAAAGGCAGATATCACGCCGTTCTACAAATGAGTGGTGGTTCAATGGCTTTGCTGGGAGTCTTGGGAAAAATTCGATCGACAGAGGTGCAATTTGCAACATGGCGTGGTAAAATATAGTTTTGGAAATTTTTTTTACATTTTAGTTTTTCTTTTTTTACTTAATGATGACAATATTTTAGATTTATCAGCTACGTTTATGTGCTTTAGCAGTTTATTGTTGCACGCATAAATGAGTCATTATGAGCTGAAAAGTCTCCACGGATTATTTACGTAATACCGCGTCAACTACGGCTATAGAAAAAGAAGCACCTTATAAATTATGGTATGACGGAAAACCAGCAGGGATGCATTTAAAGACATTTGACTCTATATCAGTTCACTTAGATAGAAATCGGCGAAATAAATTTTAGCAACGAGACTAAAAATACATTATGGTTGATTATTCTAACAAATCAAAAGCGAACCGATTGTTCTACAAATATGTTAACGAGTTAAAAGTACGTGGAGATTTATATTTTGTTACAGCCAAAGAATATGTATATATTGTTATATCACTTAAAGGAGACGCCCAACACTGAGAAAACGTTAATACCAGTGGTGAAACTGACAATGGAAATAATAGCTCGATGAAACAGATATTAGATTTAAATCAACGATTATAAGAAACTTTATCTAGCGAATATATAAATCAGTCGTTCTTTACTTCTTACCTTCGTCAATGTTAACTCGTTATAATATACACATTCAGTTGATCAAAATAGAGAGCCACCTCGAACTAAAATAATTTTAAAATGAAAATAAATCGCGTTTACTGCTTGTTATTCATTTTAAAACACAATTTCAAATTATATAATAAAAAAAGATTTAAAATAGTATAATAATAATATGAAATTAAAAAATACTTTTTAAATTTTGGGTAATATTATTTGCTTATTTGTGCAATTTTATATAATATATAATAATATAACCATAACATGACGTTTTCATGAAATCAAATTCATGGTAAATTCAAAGTTTATCATCTGATCAATAAAGCAAATTATCGTCACTATGATCTGTTGTATAAGTACACTATTAAAGCGTACCGTACAGCCACAAATAATTAAAAAATGCTTGAAAATTATTCTTTCAAATTTTCAACCACCTTTCTGGTATTATTTCTATCGTCAAAAAAAAAAAAAAAACAAAAAGCATACACACACAGATGTTTTGATATCTTAACGCAATTAATCAAACAAAGTCCTATTTTTGAACGACTTTTTAAAGGCACTTGTCCATCTTTCAACTTTACACAAGTGCTTAGATTTCAAAAAGAGGGAGAAACTTTTAAAAATTGTTTAAATGTTAAATCTAAAGCGATTGATAATTAATTTCGATTAGCTGGCTTTGTTCGATAATTTTGCAGACATTTGTTGCACGGACAATAATTGTAATTATATGAATGGTGCTTGCTTGAAGCCCACCGTTTTGCACGTAAAGCAAATTAATATTTTCATAGAGGAATTCCTATATTGTGCCATATTCGCTAATAATACGAAATTATAGAATGTAGATTACTAGTTGTTTCGGTATAAATAAAGTGTTACACATTTTGTGGTTTCGAAAGTAAACGTAAATAAAACACACATCTGATTCAGATTTGGGTCAACTTTTTTTCAATTTATTATTTGGATCACACCGTTATTGGTGAAGTACAACGTCATTCAAATGTTCTCCACAGGGCTGGATCCTTTTGAGGTAATTTTCGATTACTTGTCTATATACAACGGGCAATAGTACGGCCATATATATATATACATTTCGATAGAACAAACCGAAAGACAAATTTAGCGTAAAATACCAATTTTCATAGGTGAATATAGTGAGGAAATACATAGGAAAGCTTCAGTTCGTACTTTCCTCTCTTGGCCTTCTTTTAAGTGCCGTTTCAGTCTTTGAAACTACAATGTTGTAGTATCCGTTATTGATTGCAAACGTTTCCATTCTTTGTTAAACAATAAACAATTATGGGAAATGTTAAAGATTTCCACTAACACCCGAAACGAAAATCGGATGAATTTTTCTGTTAAATTTTTGGTGTAGGCTTTCTTGAAACGAAAATCGAATGAATTTTTCTTTTAAATTTTTAGTGTACATTTTCTTGAAATGAAGATCGGATAAATGTTTCTTTTAATAAATAAATAAACGTAAATCTTATAAAAGGTTTTCTAAAAAGTCTACGAAAATTTCAATAGAACAATAGAAAGGAAAACAATAAAATAGAAATAAATCATTTATTACCAATTTATTTAAAATTTAATTAAGGCTTCGTAACACTATCCTTGAAATAAAATATTGAAAACCTTGAAATTAAGAAACGAAAAGAAAAAGGCAAAAACAAATACAGATTAACTTTTTCAATTATCCTCAGATGTGACCAAATGCATAGCCGTTTTTTCAATGCAACAGGCGGTTGTGAACAAAAGCAGATTGACTTTTTCAATTATTCTCTATTGTTAACAAATTCAGACTAACTCTTTGAATTATGCTCAATTGTAAACAACTACAGACGCTTATTCCAAGATGTGACCAAACTCAGACATTAGGACAAAGGTTGATCAATAAAAATCAGTACTACTGTTTGAATATACT